TTTAAAAGGGAAATAAACTGATTCTCCTAGTAAATAACCCATTATTCTCCTAGAACTTCAGTTACTTTTATCTCATCATCTGCTTCTGTTCATCTGAGGTTTATTTTTTGTGTTTTATATATGTACTCTCCCAATGATCCTATACCGGATTTTCATGGAATGATTTCTTTTAGCTGCTTGCATTGATGTTCAATTTCTTATGTCTTTCCTTATTAATGATGTGTTACTATCACGACCAAAAGTACACCTATAAGACCTTGACAGGCCCTAGACAAGCTACTTGACATACATATACACATAGTAATAGACAAAAGTAAAACATTTTATATCAAAGAAAATTTTTGACATTTCAAAGCGGAAGTCTACCATAGTCTTGACCAGCCTTTCTAAATTAGCAAGAGAAGTGGTTGAGATGTAACTCATACACCACGTACAACATATGAAGGTAAAGACATAATAAAGCAATTAAAGAGAAGTGGTCCTCAGAGTATGAGGACTCACCAAGTCTTCAAACCTTTGGAGTGATGAACTATCCATGAACGGAGGGAGAGGATTTGTCAAGCCCTACATTAGTGAAACAATGTACGCACAAGTATGCATCAGCACATGGAATGTACTAAGTATGAGGGACATGCAATAAAACATGAAATATGATTATAAGGGGACATGATTTAAAAACATGATGTGCATGACCAATCTAAACATAATAAAAATCCTTACAGAAGAATCATGAATCATGTACATAGTAAATGCATCTTAAAACATAAGAAAATATTCATAAAACATTTGAAACTAACCTAGTTCATTTTGTGGGATATTTACTATTAATCGGCATAGACCATGTGCACTATAACGTGGAATGTGGTGTCTTGCTCCCACACCAAAAAGAGATATCCTTACTTGCCAAGGAAAATACCTTAACTTCTATCTTAGGGGATCCACTAACTATGTCACTTAAGACAACCTACAGGGGCACGTAGTTAGGGACAAGGATATTGCTACTAGAGAGCCGACCTCTACTAATGGGAGAGCGTCCATATCAATATCCTCTCGATGCTAAGTAAAATACTAACAGGATTAGTCATAAGCATAAACATTTTATTATCCATCAAAAGGCATAACTAATTCACTAATACAAGATAAACACATCATAAAATAGCTCTTTAAACCTTGAGTCATGCATGAGTTAGAAATGTTTTCACAAAACCATGACCCCTTAATGTGAGAAAACCTTTTACAATTGAATTGAGGCCAATCTTAAATCAAAGATCATACGACATTATTTTTCATAAGTCATGCACAAGTTCATAAAAACATCATTCACATCTTCATAGTTTGTTTATGCATTCATGTAAGTTAGGGTTCATAGTCAAAATCACGATCAAAGTATGGGTTCATATGGAATTGATTGGAAAGCATATAATTAAATCTAGATAATCATAATATGATCAAAATCAGACTATTTAACTCATACAAATATAACCCATGAGGATTGACCAAAAACCTAATCAATTTAGGGACATTGAATTAGGGAATTTGGAGAAAACTTTGGGATTCAATGGGTGAATGGAACCCATTAATTAACTCCTTACATACCTTATCTCAAATCTCACAAGCAGTTGATGAAGAAACCTTAAAGACTTGAAGAACCCTATAAATTCCTTCATCGCCTTCAAGAGAAAACCTTTGAGAGGACTTTGGGAATTTTTGGAGAACAAAGGAGAATGGGTAGAATTTGGGAATAAAATAAGTTATACGGTCTTATTTATAGGGAAAGCGTAGTATAAGAATATGGTGCATAAAAAAGACCCAAATACCCTTTAAAATAACTATCGGTCAGCCCTACGGACCGTAGAAATTCTTATCGACCGTACTGGTCAAATGTAGGTCGAGGAACTGGGCCTAAGTCTAGAGAAAAACCTATGACTTGTTTCTATGGATCGTTAAAATTCCTACGGTCCTTCGACCCATCCTTAGAACTCAACTTTCAGCTCAAAATTTCACCACGTCTTGAACATTTCTACGGGACCTTCCTACGGTCCGTAGTTTATTCGAGGAACTGGGCCTAAAGTCTAGAGAAAGTGAGATATTGTAAGCCGCCAACAAAACTTTGGTAAAGACTTTCATAAAGAAATTGAGTATTGCCACTGGTGTGCTACTTTTTACTCGGGCACATGAGAGTAGAAATATCACCGCAAGTTGAGATGTTACTATATTTCAAGAGATCATGTTTATATTTACACTGGTGTAACAACAATCAATTATATCTCCATGTAGCTTCAATACCCAAAGATTAATTAAGCTTGCCCAAGTTGCGCAAGGAGAAGGGAATTTCCAAGTGTTGAACCAATGATGAAACTAGATGTATAGACATGTCCAATACTATAATGTCATCAACATAAATAAAACAAGATAGATTTTTAGCACTCGTGAATCTAACGAAGAGTGAGGAATTCGTTTTAGAGCCTTGGAAACAATGCTCATACAAGGTATCAACCAAACATTTATTACACAGTTGAAAAGCCTATTTAAAGCCATAAATAGAACTCTCTAGCTTGCATCTATAATTAGGATGATTTGGGTAAACAAAACATGGTGGTTACGTTAAACCATGTATACATCCTCCTCTAGCTTACCATGCAAAAACGCGCTAAATATATTTAGTTGATTAACAATTCATCCTTGTGACATGACAATAGAAAGCAATACTCGAACAGTTGTAGGTTGACAATAGAAATGAGAGTATCATCAAAGTCAATTTCAGGGCATTGATGGAAACTCTTGGAAAATCATCTAGACTTATGTCGTTCAATGGAGTAATCTGGATTTTTCTTCGTCTTGAAAATTAATTTACAACAAATTACATTTGCAGCTTGATGAGGTGAAACCAACTTCCATGTACTAGTTGTTATGAGCGCATTATATCCTGCGGACATAGAAGATCATCTCCATTGAGGAATTTTAATAGTGTGAGTATAACATGTGGGGTCAAGACCAAGGTTAGAGGGGCTAAAGAAAGACTGAATACGTTTGGGCTTAAGATTTCCTTTATAAGCTCATGTAAGCATTTGATGACTGCGAATGGGTGTGACTAAATCCAATGAAGTAGCACCACTAGAATTAGAGTCACCTGGATAGTCATAAACAACAACACCAATCAAAATGCAAAGGTATTGAATTTGTGTATCATGTTAGAAAGTACCAAGTGAAACAGGAGAAGCATGTGATGGAGATGATGCAGGAGAAAAGTAAGGAGAGGATGGCAGATGAGTTGAGGTTGATTCTTGGCTTACTAGGGTTGAGGTTGCGACATTGGTAAATGCATGGGTGTAGCTAGACCCATATGAGCAGTAGTAATAACAAGAAATAGGTTTGTGTCAGGCTTAGTGGATGCAATGCACACACCATCGACTTCTTGAAAATGGAACACTTATTCATCAAATAACACATGACATGAAACAAAAAATTTATTAGGGACACGATTATAACACTTGTAGCCTTTCTGAGTGTAAGTACAACCAAGAAAGACACAGGGAGTGGAACGAGGACATAATTTATTTTGTGAATGAGGACGCTGCCAATGGTAGCATAAAGAACCAAAAACACGTAGTTGATTATAGTCATGCTTTTCACCAAGCAAAATTTCACATGGACTTTGATGATTTAATGGAGGAGTGGGCAGAAGATTAATTGGAAAAACAGTCGTTTTAAAAGCATTTGTCCAAAAATTTGAACGAACAGGTGAGTTAAAAAGAAGTGCACATGCAGTTTCAGTGACATGCCTATGTTTTCTTTTTGCACACCCATTTTGTTAAGGAGTTTATGGATAGGAAACACGTTGTGAGACTCCATGTGTGTGCACATAAGAAGTCAAGACTTGAAACAAACTCCCCAGTATGCTTCAAATCGTTTAATGGAGCAACCGAAGATTTCTCAGACAATAAATGAAATTGATGAAAAATATCATGAACATTAGATTTATTCTCAACAATATATATCCAAGAGTATTTGCTAATGCGATAAAAAAATATAAAATAATAACGAAAACCATCACTGGATATTCTAAGGTTGGACCCTAATATCATGACAAATCAAATCTAAAGGACCACATGCATAATATCAAACAGTGAGAAAGGAAAATTATTAATTTAACTCTTTACACAAGCTTGACACAATAAACTACGCAACTGCAAGAGCTATCAAAACCTAAACTATTATTAGAGACTAAGAGATGAACTGTAGAAGGAGAACCTAATTCTTATAAAAATGGATTTAATTGGTTTTCACCAAGATATATTTTCGGAATTGGTTGAGTGCTGTCAAGAATGAATGAAAAATATTTGAACAAAAAAATTAAAAAAGGAATTACAGGAAAGTGAAATATCAATTGTTTAATATTGCCTATTCAAAATAGGATCATTGGAAAGGGAATATATATATGCATTAGAACCTTGATGACGACACTAAAGTGCACATTAAGTGAGTTGAAGCGCTCATCACATTTTGAGCGTCACTTTACAGATTAGGCACTCTTATAGCGAGCATTTGACAACACTACATGTAACTAGGTGTAGCATAATAAACTAGATAATGTTTAATATATTCAGTGCAAGTTATAGGGATATGTAGCACAAATTGTTAGTGTCTAAGATTAGAAGTTGTAATTCTATGGAATTTGACTGTAAAAGGTTTAGGTAGGATCAGTTTGTAAGAAAACGCAGACAATGTTTTGAGCAATTAGATAATTACGGCAATCCATTGTGAGATTAATTAACTCATGATTCAAAGAAGAGTCAAAACATAAATAAATAGGACAGAAGAATTACCATCACAAAACTCTATAGGACAAAAAAACTATTATTTATATAACTCGAAAAGGAAGAAAAACCACTCATAAAACACTACGGTTCCTATCGAACCAAATACAAGGAACAAATAAATACGATGCAAAATGAATAAGAAATCAATACCTGAGTACAACATCATCTCACAATACTGTATCAAGCGATATAGTCACTACCCTTAGTTTCCCTGCCAATCATAAGAGAGACAAGACTCTCCATGAAAGTTCTAATTCTTATACACTTTGAAGTTTTTCCATCAACATTCATCTCTCTCTGTTGTTCCTTTTTCTTATTGTAGATAATCAACTTCGCTTTCCCAGGCGCAGATAATATGATGTCATCATCACTCATTAAACACACGGGTGTGGGACAAAAAGGGAAAGTGTTTCTTACAACACTAAATTTGGTCCACGACTCCACAACCCCGTATTCTTTCATCATCCAAACATCAATTTCATTTTCATTTCTTCTATCACCCAATACACAAAGACAACCTTTAAGAGCCACAATTCCATAAAAGCGCAAAAGAGAAGTAGTAGTAATGGTAGGTATAGGCACCTCGAAGAATTTCTCATCTGTTAGATTAACAGAAACAATTACAGATGGAGAACAATAATATTTACCAACCAGCAAATGCAAAACCCCATTTAGGAAAACCCCAAAACCGTGAATAGGAATTGCACCATTATGAGATATACTCTCAAGTATCCTCCAAAAACCCATTCTCGCGGAGTAGACATCCACAAATGTACATAAAAGGTCACCTTCAAGTACACCTCTATATCAAGAAAGAGTAATAACCTTATAATCATCACTAGCAAAATCATACCCAAGGGCATACGCGGTAGAGGTACCACGCTTTGGAAGAGCCAGAGGAGAGTTTGGAATTCTACGGTATTCTAAGGTTGTGGGGTTGATTAAAAATGCAACATCTTCCTTATTCAACACCAATACCAAGCCATTACATGAACCAACAATTTTTTTCCATTTCCCCTGAAAACTAAGCTCGATTGAAATTGTATCAATTCCATTTTGGGGGTTAGGGTTAATATGAGAAGAGTGAAGGGATTGAGAAACATCAGAGATAAGAATGTGCTTAAATTTTTCATGTTTGTTGGATTGATAATTGAGGTAAGCTTTTATGAATTTCGGGTATGAAAGAAAAGAGCACCACTGCTTGGAAACGCAATGCAATTGACCTACCGATTTTACAGACATCCAGGAGACTATCTCTTCTATCATTTCATCAGGCAACTTTATGCTCATCGCCATTTTTGGGGATTTTGGTTTAAGGGTAATTTCTTGAGCAAGTTTTCCAAAATTTTATCATTTCATGTTATCTTTAAAAGTTACCCGGGCTGAAATCTGTTGGGGCTATATTTGGATCATAACTTAATGGGGAGTTTACATAAATCCCATAAGTTTAGAAGTTAATTACATAGATTTTATAAATCTTACTAGATTTTGGTGTGTCAAGATACATGTATCTCGGGATATATGTGGCCAAAATTAGGTATAATTTATTCTAAATACACTACATCCAAGTGGCTTTGATTGTATCAAGGATACATAAAAAATCCCAGTCACCTCCCGCACATTTCTCCCATCTCGCTTGCCACTCTCCTATGTATCTGGCTTACATGTGAATCACACTAGATAAATGTATTTTAGTGTGTATCTAGCGTGATTCACATGTATCTAGCATAGATGACTATCTCACTCGCCTTCCGCCCTATCACGCTCGCCTCTCTCCCAATCAGTACTTTTGAAACAAGTTTTTATAAAATTTGCAATTATAAAAGTACATTTAAACATTGTTTGCTGAGAACTTCAAGTGCAAATAATTTTACTTACAAATTCTTACCCTTTATTTCCAGGTAAAAATCATGTTTAAATATTATCCAACTAATTCTTATCGAACTTCAATTTGCAGCAGTTTTTTCTTCAACTTTAACAAAAATATATTTTCCAAATACGTTAAGATGTGTTGGATAAACTAATTAACTACATTTACTTTTGCGCAAAATATTAGTATCACTAATTTCTCGATGAATAATAGACTGCATGGGGTAAAATCAGACTCGACCAGATGTCCGAATAACGTGGCAACATGTAGCAGGTATAATTTTAGGACCACATTTCTCCAACATGGCCCCTTTAGTTTTGATAAAAAAAAATTGGGTCTCGAGCCATTGCTAGGTGATTAAACATAGATAAGTTTCTTATATACAAATAACAAAATGTGTCAAGATTCTCGCTGGTTGATTCACAACTAAAGAGTTAGTGGTCAAGAAAAAAACTACTTGCACAACGAACTATACACAACTACAAAGTTTGATGATAATATTCCCTGCTTTCACAAGATGGGAAAATTTGACGTAAAAACAACCTATTAAATATGTACATACTTATTTAGATTATCTTTTCATATAATATTGAGAACTTATTTATTTTCTTATTCTCCGGTTCATATTCTGTTTGCTTAAATCTTTATCATATTATCCTTTTGGGTTTCTTTACATATATCACAAAATCATAACATATATTTGTTCTCTACATTTGTTTACACATATCATCAAATTATCATGAATAAATTAAAACATATGTGGACTTAATAATTGATGCACAACTTCTGCTATGGACTGCTTGACTAAGAGTGGAGTTTAGATTCTTAACGTTCTGAATCAATTTTTTTAAAATGGAAATTCACAAAGACTGGTACTGAGATGCAATTCTTAAATTTTGGGAATTTATGTAGATAAGGTATCACGACCCGATCTCTCGAGTCATGATAGAACCTAGTCTTACCTAGTAGTAAGCAAGTTAATCTGTAACTCAGAACCACAAGTAACGACTATAAGGGTAGAAATAAAGTGTAAGTGGCAATGAAATAACAAAAATAGAGGAATAGGCGGAAGCAAACTATATATATATATATATATATATATACTAAAAGATCCCTCATAGAAAGTGGAAGACACGAGTACAGAGCTACTAAACTAAAAAAGTACAAGTCCCAAAAGTGGACCCAAAATACAAGGCTTATCTAAAAAATAAATAGACAAGACAACAAAATATAGATAGAGTTAGGTAAGTCTAGGACACCATGTGCTCACACTCACCTCTGAATTGAAGCTGCAACATGCTAGAATCTCTGCACTGGTAACTGATACTCGGACCTATATCATGAAATAAATGCAGAGTGTAAAATGAGTACCAAAGAACAGTTACTCAGTAGGCTTCATAGGCCTGTTAAGCAAGAAAAGTAAAATAAAAAAGAAATGCTAGAATAAAAAAACAAACAAAGTAAAAATAGTGGAATTTGAAAAAAATGCAAACGACTGTACTAAGAACAAAAAAGAAGTATAACTAACTAAACCTACCTGAACCCCATAAGCCTAGAACGTACACTTGATACACAAGTTTATGTAAAAACCTGAACAAACCCCCATTAGCCTAATGAGTACACAAAATAGCTATAACTACTAAGAATGGGTTTGGGAAAAACATCTCGATTTCTGATGCTCAACTTTCACTTGTTTACAATTAGGACATTTATCCACAAACTCTGCAATATCCTTCTTCATCCCACTACACCAATAGATTTCCCGCTAGTCACGATACATATTAGTGGCTCCCGGAGAATGGAATATCGAGAACTATGGGCTTCTGACAAGATCTGTTCCCTCAAGTCATCCACATTAGGAACACACAAATGACCTTGATATCTAAGCACTCCATCTCCCCGTTGTAGAAAGCCTCTATGGAATTTTTAAGCACCGCTTCCCTCAATTCAACCAAAATTAGATCCAGACCTTGCTTGGCTTTCACATCCGCCACAAAGGACGATTCTGAACCATTGTGAACCATGACACCGCCTTTGGTAGTTTCTACTATCTGAACACCCAATTGGGCCAATGTATGAACATCTCGAACCTACTCCATCTTATCCTCTTTAATTTGACCAACACTACCCATAGATAGTCGACTAAGAGCATCCGCCACCACATTCGCTTTACCGGGGATGATAGAGAACACTCATAGCAAAATCCTTCTATAACTCAAACCACCTTCTTTGGTGAAGATTTAGGTCCTTCTGACTAGAAACATATTGTAAACTCTTATAGTCGATGAAAACATCGACATGAACACCATACAAATAGTGCTTCCAAATCTTTAAGGCAAAAATAACCGCCACTAGTTCAAGGTCATGGGTAGGATAATTCTTCTCATGAATCATAAGTTGCCTTGAAGCATAGGCAATAACTTTCCCATTTTTCATAAGCACACATCCTAGCCCAATTCTTAGGGCATCACAGTAAACCACAAAACCATCCGTCCCTTCCGGTAAAGTCAACATGGGAGCAGAAGTAAGTCTATCTTTCACTTCTTGAAACCTCTTCTCACATGCTTCTAACCATATGAACTTAGCCTCATTTTGAGTCAAAGCCGTCAAATGAGAGGCAATCGAAGAAAACCCCTCAACAAACCTTCTGTAGTAACCAGCTAAAGCCAAGAAACTTCTAATATCTGAAGGGGAAATAGGTCTAGGCCAACTCTTGACCGCATCCGTCTTCTTAGGATCTGCCTCAATACCCTTACTTGAAACAATGTGACCTATAAAAGCCACATACCTTAACCAAAATTCACATTTACTAAACTTTGTAAAAAGTTGTTGGTCCTTGAGAATTTGCAACATGATCCTCAAATGATCAATGTGCTCATCCTCACGGCTTGAGTAAATCAATATATCATCAATGAACACAATCACAAACATGTCAAGGTATTGTCTAAACACTTTATTCATCAAATCCATAAATGCCGCCGGAGCATTAGTCAACCCAAACGACATTACCAAAAAACTCATAATGACCATGCCGAGTTCGAAATGCCATCTTCGGAATATCACCTTTTTTCATCCCCAATTTGTGATAACCCAACCGAAGATTAATCTTAGAGAAGTAACTCGCTCCCTGAAGTTGGTCAAACAAATCATCTATCCTTGGAAGATGATACTTATTCTTAATGGTCATATTTTTCAATTAGCGATAGTCAATGCACATATGATTATAACCATCCATATTTTTAACAAACAAAACTGGAGCATGCCATGGAGAGATACTTGGTCGGATGAAACCCTTATCCATCAAACCTTTTAATTGTTCTTTAAACTCTTTTAGTTATGCCAAAGCGATATGGTAAGGAGGAATAAAAATACGCTGCGTATCTGGGAGAAGGTCATTACCGAAGTCTATTTCCCTTTTGGGAGGAATATCGGGTAAAACATCTGGGAAGACTTCCAGAAACTCATTAACAACGGGGACCGACTCAAGAATAGGGGTTTTGGAATCTACATTCCTCACCCTAACTATATGGTACATGAAACCCTTAGAAATCATCTTTGTAGCTTTAATACAAGAGACAAACTGACCCTAAGGCATAAAATTCCCCCCTTTCAACTCTAGGATAGGCTCATTCGGAAACTGAGACTACACGGGTTCTACATCAATAGAAGCATAACAAGAGTGCAACCAATCCATACCAAGGATAACATAAAATTCTAGCATATCAAGCTCTACCAAATCAAGAAGAGTAACTCTATGGGAAATTTTCTATAGACCCTCTTAGCCACAATAGAATCACCAATAGGAGTAGAGACCTAAAAAGGTTCTAACAACACATCCAGAAGAACATCAAACCTCATAGCCACATATGGCGTCACAAAAGACAAGGTAGCACTGGGATCAAGTAAACATTAAACATCAAGTTGGGAAGCTTTCAACATAGCGGTAACCATATCGGGAGAACCCTCTTTTTGACCATGAGTCTGAAGTGAATAAAACCTATTTTGCTATGGATAATTCGAAAACGAACAATTTGGACCGGATTAAGGGTAGGGTTGAGCCCTACAAAGACTATCTCCTTCATTCTTAGCAATAGAAGGACAATCTCTTATCTCGTTGTCCATCTTACCACAATCAAAACAAGCATTAGTACCCGCTAGACATTTTCCCTCATGCTTTCTTCCACAGTTAGCACAAGTAGGCAATAGAGATCCACTACCATTCCCTCCTTGAGGCTTAGAGTTAGACACCATATCTTTGTTGGCTCATAGAGGAGCATTAGAAGAACCTTGACCGGAAAACCTTTGTCGAAACCGTGAACGACCACGTCCACCGGACCTAGAGTATCAAGAGTTACCATCATCAATTCTTGCCCTCTTTAGTTCCCTAGACTTCTCATTAAGTTTTTAGTCTTCAATTTGTTGTGCA